GCTGCTTGGCCTGCTGTGTTCATCCGGCTCTACACCTTGTTATCTCAGATTTTCCAGCATCTGCAGTTCCTACTATCTCTGATACAAATTCTAAGCAATTTTAGTTCAGCATCCTGCAATCTGCAATGTCATGCGTATTCCTAATTTCTCTGTTCTGGAGTTAAATGTCTAGATTTAGACTGTTAGTAGTCTATATCAAAGTTGCCGAACTTTCAACGTTTATCGACAATTTAGTTACGAGTCACTGAATTTGTGATGCTGTGGCTATTTGCACTCCAGGACTGTGTGCATCAGTTGCATAATTGAGAACCATTTCCTTATACTTGTGATTTGCTGCAATGCATGTGGGAAGATCAGTTGGGGAGGAGTACAACCTAAGGGTTGAGTTGAAAATCCCCCCCATGGCAAAATAGGAATCTGAAAAAAATCTGCTCTAAATCGTGGGCTGACATGAGATCGTATGAGTCCAGAGAAAAGTGTTGTTGCAAAATCCCAACTGATTCACATTATCCTTCAAAAGGGAACTTAACCAGGTCTGGTCAACATTATAAATGCTGTCGATTCTCAGGGGATGGATTTTATTCCGCTCTTGGGTTTGGAGGTAGAGGCAGTATGTAAAATCAGCAGACAGCCTACCTACCCGTCATTCTTATTCCAAGTGGAATCTTACCAGCAGCAGGAATGGTGTGAGGGTGGTGGCGCCATCCATTGTGGTTCTTAATCAGGCATGTAATACCCACTTTAAAGCCCCCCCCCACACAATTACCAGCCTGGTAGGTTACACTGGTTGGGGACAAGGCAGGAGTCCCTTCTTGTTGGGGTCCCGGATGAATGGAGGGACTAAACACTGCTCCCCGCTCCCCCCCACCGCCCCCCCAACCATAGTCTCTCAGTTCTTGGCTCCACCTTTGCACATGTGCTTGGCAGCCATTGGGACCCTCAAACACCACCAACTCTCCTGAATGTTTCCTCATGCCACTTCTGTGGTGCCATCAGTGGTCCCCACCTGCAGTGGTATTACTGAAAAGATGATGGTCTCTAATTGGCTGGCAACTCCAGTTCCATCAGATGGGACTTCCTGTATTTTTAGGTGCTGATTGTGTGCAAGTTTTCACCTCTTAACGCTTACCTGGGCACCTTTTCAGATCACAGGTCCGTGACTCTGTTGCAGTGCAGGCATAGCCACAGGACCTGGTGCGTTTCTGGTTCCCAGTGCCGCATGTCACAGTGCAGGGGGACCAAGCACTCCAGTCTTCATTATCTTCATATTCTGCCAAGCAAGAGGAACATTCATCAGAGACCACAAATGCTTAGTTTCTGCATTCCCACAGGAACTTCATGAGGATCTAAGTGAGGTTGTTAGAATAATATAGCTTGAAACATAGGGCTAAAAGATTACTTATTGGGGCAACACTTCTTGTTAAATTCCTGCTGGGGACTGTTAGTGTTAAAGAAGAATTACAAAAACTGAATTAATGAATTGAACCATGCCACAAAATTTCATGTTTTTAAAATGAAATAAACTTTATCGTATATAAAGAGATTTATGTTGTACATAAATAAAGTGAACCAGATGGGTTTTTCCGACAATCGACAATGGATTCATGGTTATCATTAGACACTTGATTCCAGATTCTTTACTGAATTCAAATTCAACTATCTGCCATGAAACTTTTTTACTGATAAAGCTTTAACAACGGATTTCTTTAAAATTAAAGAACGACAAACAAATAATATTCACATGAGTATAAAACAACAAAGACTTGACTGCATAAAAACTGAAAGGAATCTTTATTGAATAAAGGTCTGTGATAAATGATATAGCATCACATGTAAGTGGGAAGAACATATACCCAAGATTAGCACCCAAAGCAGGAGGGACCTGAGTAAACTAAAAATAATTCCAGTGATATAAAAACCCCTCAAATAATGCTTTTATAATATAATTTCTTCCATTGGGAGATGATATCTTAACTCGCACATGGTTTTAAGGTAAAATTTTACTTTGAATGTTGATGGTTATTCTATGGATAGATATCCTATTATTAACTACACTTAGATATTCCTAGATGTTCTTAGATATTCTTGATTATTGTAAATTATATCAAAAAACATCAAATAACATCATGCGACTAACTTGATTGAAGTTTTTGAAGAAGTAACGAAGAGGATTGAGGAGGGCAGAGAGGTGGATATGATCTATATGGACTTCAGTAAGGCGTTGCACAAGGTTCCTCATGGTAGACTCGTTAGCAAGGTTAGATCACACAGAATAGAAGGAGAACTAGCTACTTGATTACAGAACTGGCTCAAAGGTAGAAGACACAGGGTTTCTTTTCAAACTGGAGGTCTGTCACCAGCGGTGTACCATACGGATCGATGCTGGGTCCAATGCTTTTCATCATTTACATAAAACAATTTGGAAATGAACATAGGAGGTATGGTTAGAAAGTTTGCAGATGACACCAAATTTGGAGGTGTAGTGGACAGCAAAGAAGGTTACTTCAGAGTACAACAGGATCTTGATCAGATGGCCAATGGGCTGTGGTGTGGCAGATGGAGTTTAATTTTGATAAATGTGAGGTGCTGTATTTTGGAAAGGCAAATCAGGGAGGGACTTATACACTAATGGTAAGTTTCTTAGGAGTTTTACTGAACAAAGAGACCTTGGAGTGCAGGTTCACGGTTCGTTGAAAATGGAGTCGTAGGTAGATAGGAAATGAAGAAGGCGTTTGGTACGCTTGCCTTTACTGGTCAGTACTTTGAGAATAGGAATTGGGAGGTCATGTTATGGTGGTAAAGGACATTGGTTCAGCCACTATTGGAATTCTGGTCTCCCTGCAATGGGAAGAATGTTGTGAAACTTGAATGGGTTCAGGAAGGATTTACAGGGATGTTGCCAGGTTTGGAGAGTATGAGCTTTGGGAGAGGCTGAATAGCCTGGGACTATTTTGCCTGGAGTGTCGGAAGCTGACAGGTGACCTTATAGATGTTTGTAAAATCATGAGGGGCATGGATAGGGTAAATAGACAAGGTCTTTACCCCGGGCTGGGGGAGTCCAAAACTAGAGGGCATAGGTTTAAGGTGAGATGGTAAAAATTTAAAAGGGATCTAAGGGGCAACTTTTTCACACAGAGTGTAGAGCGTGTATGGAATAAGCTGCCAGGGGAAGTGGTGGAGGCTGGTACAATTACAACATTTAAAAGGCATCTGGATGGGTATATGAATAGGAAGCATTTAGAGGGATTTGGGCCAGATGCTGGCAAATGGGTCTAGATTTATTTAGGATGAGTTGGACTGAAGGGTCTGTTTCCATGCTGTATATCTCTATGATTCTAATTGGATTCTATTGGATTTGGCATTACATCTTTTGATAGTTTTGGCGTAGTTGGACACTTATTCACTTAAAGTGTATTGCTTAATTTCCATCTCCACACTTCCATCTCCCACCACCAGAGATTCCAGCTATTTGCAGTTCCTCACGTTCTGTCATGTTTCGCCCATAATCTTTGCACCTTCACTCTGATCCTCTTGCTGAGATTGACAGTCAATGTGTTTGGCTTGTGGCAAATGCCTGTGACATGATAAACCATTTATTGTCATGGTAACCATTGATAACCATTTCAAAGGCTGGCTCATTTAGTTTTCTTTGAGAGAGCTGTGTCTCGTACCAGTCCGTTTTTTTGTCCTGGCAGCTTCAGTGTGTTGACTCACTTGACCAGCAAGTTTAAGAAGCCTTCCCCAGTTAAATAGTCAGAAATGCTGATACGTCCCACCAATAATTGTGTAGATTTTCAACAGAAGCCAGAGGCTACAGCAGCTGAATCATGCCTGATGTCAATGCAGAAACTCAATATCTAGGGTGCAATGGTACCAGCGTTGGACCAGTGCGGAGGGACAAGCAAGACTTCATTGTGAGTCACCAATTGCAAAACTCCAAAGTTACCCAACAAGCTGATCCAGAATGAAACTTCAGTTCTGCTAGACCAGCAAACTGAAGGAACACAAACACACAGACACATAAGTGCACACTTTTTTAGACGTACATGTACACATACCTATGCATGTATCATATCTTTATATCTCACATGAAGCATTTCAATGTTGTCCAAACTTCCTGACTACCTTCCAATTAATCTATTTAAGAGGTGGTATTGGCTATTTCCCACTCCTCTGTAAAATAACCTCAGATAGGAGACACCCTATTAGGATCTTCACTATGTCCTCGGGACATGAGCTGTTAAGGTCAATGAGACCTGCCTGTTTACCCATGTTTCTCTCTGATAGATATAGGGTCCATGTCAGGCTAATGCTCATCAAAATTCTGACACAACACATTGCTTTGTTAGAGATTGAAAACAGGTCTCAAAATGCTTCTGGCTTCCATTTCAAGTTTTTCTTTCATGGACTGCAGTTGCTGTTCCAGACCTTGCTTATCTTGTTGCATTGTTGCCAAGTTTTGTTCCAGATTAGCCACTGACTGATCTTGCTCCTCAAGCTATTTCAAATGTTACAAACATATGAATTAGGATCAGCACTAGAACATTCAGCCACTTGAAGCTACTCCGTCATTCACGAAGACCATGGCTGATCTAATTGTAACCTCAGTACCAGATTTCTGTGTATCTCTGATAACCTCTTGCTTTTCAAGAACCTATCTTTGCCTAAGAAATATTCAGAGACTCTGCTTCCACCACGTTTTCAGGAGAAGAGTTTCAAAGATGCTCTGAGGGAAAAAAATTCACCTCATCTCTATTTTAAATGGGTGATTGCTGGGTATTAAACAGTAACTCCCTAGATCTACATTCTCCGCAAAGAGGAAACATGCTTTCCACACCTACACTGTCAAGATACACCCTCAGGATCTTGTATGTTTCAATCAAGTCACCTCTTACTCTTCTAAACCCCAGCGGATACAAGCCTAGCCCGATCAACCTTTTCTCATAAGATATCTCCCCCAGCCCCATTTTATTAGACTTACTTGCTTTCAATACATTTACTTTCTTCCTTAAAGTGACCAATACTGTACCTAGTACCCCAGATGTAGTCTCACTTTTTCTTTTATTCATTCACAAGATGATGGCGTCGCTGGCTGGGACAGCATTTATTGCCCATCCCTAATTGTTAAGAGTCAACCACGTTGCTTTGGGGTCACATGTAGGCCAGACCAGGTAAGGATGGTAGTTTCCTTCCTTAAAGGACATTAGTGATCCAAATGAGTTTTTCTGACAATCAACAATAGTTATCATTAGACCCTCAATTCTAGATTCTTCACTGAATTCAAATTCTATTATCTGCCATGTTGGGATTTGAACCTGGGTCCCCAGTATTTCCTGGGTCCCTGGGACATTATCAAGGTCTCTCGATTATCAGTCCAGCAATTATCCAGTAGCCATTGCCTCCCCTTTTACTGTCCTGTATAACTGAAGCATATCCTCCTTACTGTTGTATTCAATTTTCCTCACAATTAATAATAACATTTGATTAGTTTTCCTAATTGCTTGCTGTACCTGTGAACTAACCTTTTGTGATTCATGCGCAAGGACACCCGGATCCCTCTATATGTCAGAGCTTTGCAATCCCTCACCATTTAAACAATGTGCTTTTCTTCCTGCCAAAATGGATAATTTCACATTTTCCTACAACTTTGCCCATTCACTTAACCTATCTTTTTGTACAATAAAACAAAGAATTACAAATGTAGGAGATCTGAAACAAAAGCAGAAATTGCTGGCAAAACTCAGCAGGTCTGGCAGCATCTGTGGGGAGAAAGCAGAGTTAACATTTTGAGTCCAGTGACTCTTCAGAACAATTAACTCTGCTTTCTCTCCACAGATGCTGCTTGACCTGCTGGGTTTTTAAAACAATTTTCAACTTTGTTTTTACTTTCCTACCTAGCTTTGTGTCATTGCCAAATTTGGCCACCCATAACTTCATCAAAATATTGTAAAAATTGAGTTACTAAGGCTAGCATACAGGTGCACTAAACTATTGAGCAGACCAAATGGCCTACTCCTATTCCTATGTTTCTATGGTAAACAGCCCTGATCCCTGTGATATACCACTTATTATATCTTGCCAAGCTGAAAAATCTACACTGTTTCCTGTTAGGCACCTAATCTTCTATCTATGCCAATATGCTACCACCACACCATGAGTTTTTATTTTACACAATAACCTTTGATACCTTCTGGAAATCTAAGTACAAATAAGGAAATCTAAGTACAAACATCCAGTGGTTTCATGTTATCCACAGCATGTTATTTCCTA